TAACTGAATTTCACAAATTTTCTGGTGATCACTGGATACGTCTGCAGCAATCATCTTCTTCGAACTATGGTTCGTTGTGATTGGATTGGAACTGAGTGGGGCACAATTTTATTCGAATAATAAATAAAACAGTTATAGATGGATTCTTTCTTAATAGAATCACGAAAAATATTAATCTGATGAAGTCAAATTATTAGTTTTCCTAAGCAACCTATATAATTGAGGAAAAATTAATATTTGAACTAGTAGTGAAAAAATCACAGGTTAAGGTTGTCAGAGTAGGTTAAATAGTTAATAAGATTAAATACTTATTTGCCAATTTCCAAATTCTATTCTAAAAATTGGAATTTCCACATTAGATCAACTGAAAATGGCGTAGTATGTTTTTTTTTATCTGTTGTTCGTTATTCGAAACTCATTTAGTTATGAAAATTGTGCGTACTGCGTATATTTAGGAGTGATGCAACAAATATTTCCAGTGCAGTATAATTAACAGTTTTCATAAATGAGAGTTTCTCGACAGGTTTATTGATGGTGTCGGTTTCGTATGGTGAGTTTCGTATTAGCACAATTAAGCGAATCTGTTGAGAATCTTTAATGCAAACAATATGCCATTTTCGGCATAGAAATCTTAAACCGATTTCAATTCTACTTCTTCATTAATCAATATGAAATGTATTACTAAATTTACTCATCACGTGGATGGATAACAAAAGGCTTGTCTGAAACTTGCTGAAATATTTGTATGAAGGGATTATAACAAAGCTACATTACGAAGCATAGCTGTAACACCACTTCAATTTTCAAAAGTTCTGGTATTTTACGTAACAATTTCTAAGTACGAATAATCTCACGTGAAAAAGCACAGTAAGAAATTAATGTTTAATGAAAAAATTGTGAAAATAATATTTATTGGAAACTAAATATATTAATAAAAGTGATTTTCAACTGGTACACATTTACAGGACCAACATAATTAAATTACGAAATACCGACTAAACTGGGGAAGTTTAATATTGATCAGAACCCCCCTCTTTATGCATGATTTTAAAAATGCGATTTTTAAACGATTCTTTGAAATTCGTTGTTTCCAATGCTCTTTCGAGTGATACAAGTGACTTTGCCGTATTTTTTCAATGTCCCGAAATCTTAAAAATGTCGACGGTGGTAAAGTCATGGAGTGTATAATACCGATAATAGTGGAAAATGGTTCAATTTCGAGTGGTACCGTTTCTTTTTTCTCTCGAGGAAATCACCGCCCGTGGACGAGGCCACCGAAAGTAAAATCGTACCTGTCGCTGCTCCTGACGTAATGTAAATAAGGCAGTGGATCGTGTTGTTTTGTAATTTCAGTGATTACCGTAGGAGCGCGTTCGTGTTACGAAAAGAAACACATACACGATATCTGAAACGCGCCTGTCACCATTACCAGCGGGCCCGGGACTTTTTTCTAGAGAAAGTACCGTTACCCCCCGGGAGCGACGTCATAATTCTAGTAAAATGTAGCGGGGTATAACGTAGCGACGCCAGAAGACGGCCAGATAGCCGGGGCTTCATTAAAATTCAAATAATGACGTTATTATTCTGATTATCATCTCTAACTTAATTATCGCGCTGCCCCGGATGGTAGTTTAATAACAGCCTATCCTCCCCCTCCCCCACTCCCAACCCTGCGAAACTTTCTTTTACCTTTACACATCATTGCTTTCAACTTAATAATGTAATTTAGAACAGCTTCCGAGAGATGTCGGTTTTAGATGCCCGGTTACATCGGGGCGACCGTGTAATCAACGTTTAACGAAAGTAAAGGATCGTGCTCAATTAGCTGCCACTGACTAGACCAGACCGCCGCAAACTGGGGAACAAATAAGAATAATCGCCTTTCTCTTCGTGACCTAGTGCTTCGAAATTATGCGCAAAGTATATGAAAGGAGAAAAAAAATTAATTCGAAAAATTCTTGGAGATAATTCAACGAGATAACGTGATAAGTACACTACCGCTCATAAGTATTAGGACACCAGGTTTGTACGAAGGGAATCTGATGTCTCGTAAAAATCATAAATTTTGGGTCACTTTTGTTACTACATAGTAGCATACACGTTGTCCATCGAACGTTCATATCCTCCAAATAATATTCATTTCAGACTTTCTGCAATTTGACAATGCCTTTTAATATTTGTTTTACAAAGTAAACACAATCGATTTTTTGACGACACAGGTAAGGTGTACATATGGGTTTTACTGAACAACATGATGCTATCTATAAATAGTTCGCATAATGCGTTGGTTTTTTCCCAGCAAGCATCAGACTACCCATCTTTACTACATAAGTGTCCTAATATTTATGAGCGGGAGTGTATATTATTCAAACTCCTCGAAACGTTTCACACGCTTTCATCCGTCCATAGAACACGAAATTAACATTTCCGATCTCGCTTATCCAAAATCTCGATTTTTCATCCGACGTATGATTTCATAACATACGGTAGATCTTCCTCGCCGGAGGCCAGTATATCGATACACTCGATACTGGTTTCGTAACGTTCGGCTTGTAACTGTATCCTGGCAAGTTTTCTCTACCCCTAACGTAATCATGGCACCATTGGAGAATAGTCATTTCCATGAAATCGTAATTTTTCTACGTCCCCCCTTCCTGTTCCGTTCAATTCTGACAAGGGCGATCGTGCCAGTCAAAATCCAAGGACTCGGAGGAATCGATCTTTTGGTTTCCTGTGCTGAGAGATCATAGTAGATCTGGTTCAGAAGATCTGGGTCGACATTGCGCAAGTCGTGGTGGAGGCCCTCGGAAGTTTCAACGTGGCATCCGCGACTGGACAAAAGGGGGAAAAGACAAAGACAAATGTGGTCGGTTAGGGCAACGAAGAGTAATATCATCTGTGTATGTTCCCGTAAAAATTGTCCCTTGTACTTCGGTGGTGAAAGTTGATAAGAAGCGAAATAACAGCGCAGAGAAACGGTATCGAAATCTTTGGCCTCGTCGAGTTCGAGGAAACGGTCGAACAGACACTTCTTTGTGTCCCTTTTTTCCCTTCGTCCTGGGATCCTTCGCCGGAGATCCTTCCTACCTTACGCTCCCATATATATCTTTCCGTTTCCTCGAATTCTTACCTACGTCAGATTCCACAATTGTCTCGTTTACACGCTTGCCATAACAGCTTATAGGCTTCGGATGTTCTTGGAATTACCGTCGGCGAGATGAAATACACACATACACACACTTGACGGTAATAATAATAGCCTTTTGTTAATGTTATTCTTTTTCTACCTCGGGACTTTATTGGAATGTCTGCTCCGATGTTGACTTTGCGGAATCTGAGGATTTTCTTGTGTTCGGTTGATGCATAAATAATGGGGAATTTCTCCGTGTGAAAACAGCACTTTTTATTTAAACACGAAGGCAATTTATTTGATCAACTATGCATTTTTCATTTATGTGCTGTGTAACATGTCACTCCAACTGTGTGATCTGTGCTTGGAAAATTGTGGTTACTCTATTATAGAAATATCAGTTTTAGAATTTTCTATTGCTTATGCATCAAGCCAATAGAAACTATCAACTAGAAGTAGAACATTATAGAGTTCCACGGGTATCTGTTTAAGAAACTGAATGTCTGCTTTTTTGTGAAATTACAGGTTAAAATCGATAGGATAGAGGATGCAGGATGTTCAGTTAAGGACCTCCGTCATCGGTAGATTCTGAATGTTTATGCAAATATAGATTTCAGTAGATTAGTTTCTAAACTTTAGGATCGAAGAGAAATTCGTTTGTCTCAATAAGCTTTGTATAAAGTTCAGTAGAAATTAAAAACCTAAATAGACTTTACAAAAAATTTATCTGTACTAAGTTTTTTTCGACAATCTTACATAAAATAATTGCATAAAATCCGCAATGTATTCGTCAGTAATATCGTGAAGATATAATATTTTGAAGTTAGATGCATTCATCGAGAATGTTAACTATTTGTTGTAGTTTTATCGACCGAAACGGAGACCTCATCGAGCACGTGCAAGAAGTCACGTGAGCCAGACAGACTCATGGGCTCTCTCCTTGCTAGGTCACGTTTCCCTACTGGTGGTAGTGACTGACGATGAACAGGACTGACAGAAAGCCCTAAAAATTCGAATAGCCACTCTTCTTTCGACATTCTTCCGTTTCTGGACCATTCTTATTGATACTTCCTACGGACCCGACACTGAGGTTGCTAAACTACGTATACCTCTTAACTATTCCCTTATTTATCGTATCTTTGCAATATAAATTTAGTAAATACATGTGCAGTACAAAAGTTTGTGTACTTAACACTAAACATACCATAACGGGTCAAATGACCCATTTTGAACTTTTGCATTGAAAATGCACGTATAATTTTATTGCGTTTGCACATTTGACTTCATGACTTTTTCTAAGTAATTAATGTACAGTTATAAAAAGTTTTTTTTTTTTGTTTTGTTTTGTTTATTCTGAGTAATCCTTGTTGTATACCGATATCTACCACAACGGGTCATTTGACCCGGAGAGAATTTTTTTGTTTTATGAGATTATCTAGTCATATTTGTAGTCAGTAAGTTGCACATTCTTCCAAAGACTGTTGCGTAAAGTAGTTCAACGAAAATAGCTCAGAATAATTTCAAGAAAATATCAAATTTTAGATTGAAAATAGCTTTTTAGTGTAAGAAAAAGTGGCAAAAATTGAAAGTCTTGGTAAGTACCTAGCTTATATTTTATTTTGATAGCTATAGTAATACAGATCATTTTTTACCCAGAAAAAATGTCGAAGCAAACAAGACAGTACAAGTTGTGTGATTTTCATCGAAAATTTTTACAACAGATAATTGTACTCTTACAATCTATAAAAGTAAGCCAACAAAAAAAGTACTTTTACTTAGTTCTAAACATAAATTCGTTAAAGTAGAAAACAATGATAAACGTTTACCTGAAACTGTTTCATATTACAATAAAACCAAATTTGGTGTAGACATGACCGATCAAATGGCGAGGAAATTTACTACAAAATCTAAGTCTTGCAGATGGCCTCTCCAAGTTTTTTTCAATATCCTTGATTTAGCTGGCATAAATGCCTGGATTTTGTACAAGCAAACGACAGGAGAAAATATCTCGAGACAAGATTTTTTACTCAAGCTAGCAGAAGAACTTGGCGCCGATTTTCGAGAAGCCCGTGAACAACCAAAACAAGAAACAAATACGAAAGGATCGTTGCCTAAGTCTACTACAGATGCTTATAAACGTATGAGATGTCAAATAGGATACTGTAAAGAAAATAAAACCAACAAAATTTGCTCTAAATGTAAAAAATATGTTTGCGGAAAATGTACAATGGAAACACTTATATGTAAAAAATGCGTTGAACTATGAATTAAAAATTTTTATTTTTTGCTTTTGTAATAGAAATGCTCAACATACTATTTTGTTTAATTATAATAAATTTAATTTATATTTTTATTTCCTTCCTAACAAACATATTTCATACATTCAAGCATGAAACATAAAGTCGGGTCATTTGACCCGCTATGGTAGAAATAGGTATATATTAAGTCTTGGTATGATTAGTGTTAAAGACCAATAGTCCTAAGACCTAATCCAAATTTTTGGTCCGTCTGTAATAAAAAATTTTCATTACAGACAATTGTAAACATTGAAAATCCAAGTACGACTCTATCAAGTCCATACGATAAAGGGTCAATAGGGTTTTGTCTGTATATAGTCCATACTTTAACTGAGAGAAGTTTGAACCAAATCTGAGACATCATTTTAGGGTATTTACTCTTCTGGTAAGCTCAGATTATAAACTCGCTGCATTCTCAATGGTGTCTATGCCAGAGTCTACTAGTTGAGCCGCATTGTCGGGTCATTCTACAGGCGGATTAAGATCAACTAGTCGCTGAAGGCCGCAAGAGATTACTCTCTCTCATCGTTATCTGGTTGCCTGTGCAATAGAAGGGCGAAAGAGAGACTAATGCGTGTTCTAGAGTGATTCACGGAAGGGAAAGTGACCTTCAGTAGTCAATTAAATTGAAGTCATTTACAGTAAACCTAAGATAAGTCCTGGAACTATTTCCTTTCACAATTTAAGAAAATGCTTCAATATTGTCAGAAATTACGTCTTGAAATATTTTCGTTGATATTTAATGTTGTCTATCCAAAGGCATGAAATATGAAAGAAAAAAAGTATTCCCAAGCAACAGGTACAATCGGTAAGGATTCTAGGCGGTCTTTCGTAGCGAAGATCATCGATCGATAAGATCCTGTCGTTACTGACATATTACGTTCTAAACGTAACAGATCGTTAATCAAATAATCGAGTAGCGTGTATCGACCTCTCAATCGCTTGTGTATACCCGAACCGTGGTGGACGGTTGATTTTCAAACGAGCAAATGCATTGACCAGCACAAGCAAAGATCTTGAATGGGGCCCGGCCGGTGTCCACTTAGCCCTTGGGGCATTAATCTCCTCGTAAACTCGATGGGCCCATAAAACCGTGGTCGTCGCCATTGTCGGGCCCAGCGTTGCCCTTCTATTCTTCGGACAGTGGCATTCGGTTAAGTTCAATTAGGGACATGAAACGACACCAAGGGTTTAATTGATTTTTCGCTAGCCATTACCTCAATTTGGATGTTTTGACATCTACATAAATTATTATTGTAGGATCTTGAATTGTACATGGACTAATCACTCATGTGTACCATGTCATATTTTGAGTAGGCAATCACTCGGGGGGCCTGACTTTTAATGAGAATTTTAAAAGTAAGCGTTGTTTCTGGTAAATATTTATGATCGTAATGCAAAACAACATCAGCTAGTGTGTATTTAAAAGACATTGCTGTCCTATGGTTCGTTTATTCAGTTTTGTTTTCAAAGAAATACCTCCAATAGTTTACTTTTTGTTGAAAATTGTAAATTCTATTTGGTAAATATCAATTAAAGTATGAATTTGTAATTTCTGATAAATGTAAATAATTCATAAATTTAAATGGTTAAAGACATATATGTCAGTTATGATGATGACATGATTCATGGTTCTATAGTGACCGAAGTGAGTTTAAACCAAACTAAACGGTAGATAATGTGTGCTTTCTCTTTATTGCAGATTATCAGTTCCCGATAGACGTCTCTGGCGTAGCCAAGGACCACCCCTTCCTCGAGGCTGATTCCCTGCAGAGTTTATTCAGACGATTGCACGCTTTGAATCGGTGCGCCAACATGAAGATCGACACGCATCACACGCATACCACCAGCCATAGCAAAACCGTGAGTAGATCATTCTTTATTAATCAGAATTACTACTTTATTAACCTTTTAACTAGGCGAATGAATTATTTCTTTTACAATCAAATCATATCTACCTCAAACTTTTCATTATTATCATTATAGATTTAAATATTTTTTCTAAAAAAAATTGCCTAGTTTTGAGGTCAGAAACCAAAACATCCTTTAACTTCTTTTTTTTTATTAAGTATCGCACAAAGCTAGTTACAATTAATTGCATCAAACGTTTTTTATTTCATAACACTTTTCCCCTATAAAATTATTTGTGTATTTCTTTGATAGCCTTGGTCATACAGTAACATTTCATCTGGCTTGTATTTGGATTTCTCGAGACCGTGAATAAAAATTCAACCGGTTCCAGGACATAAGTTGTTAAATTAAATTCTTCTGAAATATTCAACGCGTTTCTCATGCTAATAATATTTAGATATTGGTCGTTCAGTGAAACGAACAAGTTCCCCGTTTTTAAGTAGACCCTTTTCAAGTTCCCTTTTCAAGTCAGTGGGAACGGACACGACGTCGGAGATCCAGAAGATCTCCAGGCGGAAATACCAGTCTAGATCAGAAATCAGCGTGGCGTCGAATAGGGGTTCGCCGCGACAAGGGTTCTTTACCTAAACACTTCTTAGAATCCCACGGTTTTCCTCGGTGTTCAGCCTTTTCAACGATCACGTTTCTTCGGGAACTTCCGCGGTTGGTCAAGATTATCTGTTCGAACGCGATATTTCATTCCTCGAATTCCGAAAAACCCATCGTTCATCGACGTTTCCCGAACGAATTCGTCATATTCCGTTGCTTCCTTACACGTCCACGGAATCTCTACAATCCTCGAGAATCATTACGAATCCAAAGTATTTAACGACTTCGAAAATTACTGGGCAAACTGGTTCAAGGCGAAGCTACCACCTTCAACTTGTAGCGCGTAAGGATTGATGAAGCCTATACATCAGCTATTTATAAAATAGACCTACTTCCCTATAACCTTGGTGTTCTTAATTATGAATAATAACTCGACTAGCTTGGACCTTGACCAGAATATATTTCTTTCATCGTAGCATTATATTTCAGTCTGTTTTATCAACCTTCCTCGATCCAACTGAAAATGAATTTCTTCGTGCCCCATTAGCAAAGGATATCAATTCCCCCTGAGCAGAAGGAAATTTTATCTTCCATCAATTATTTATCTTTTATATTCCGTAACATTACGTTCAGAAAGTAATGAACATTTCGTGAATGTTTCTAACAAAACGTAAGGACTACAAACTTCTTCACTGTCTCGGATTTCATCAATTTGCAATGTCCCATCAAGAATCGAATTTCCATTCCTGGTAGTGGTGAACGTGTCTGCCCAGCGTTAATTACATTCTAAATAAATCTAGTTACGTAATTTCAACTATTTCCATCGTTGTGCATTTTCCAATGCCACAGGTAAAATTCCTACGCGTCCCCGAACGCCGTTTCACCATCCCCCAATGGGGTCTGCCGAAGCTATCGCGTAGTGGCTCGCCTATCTCGGATCTTTTCAGCGGCGACTAATTGCCGGCTCGCGATGTCGGAATTCAATAAGTTATGACACGTTTCCAACGTGTGTATTGGTCATTGTTATGCGCTGGGCTTCTCCCTACTCGCGCTATTCTTACGATTTGCCTGGGGACGAATAAACGAATGGAATAACAACTAACGACCGTCACGTGACCGGGATAACGCCGAAGTTAATTATCGTGGAAAGTGCTGCTAGGCGCGGTCGAACGTTGTCCTCGCGTTGCCTACGAGACGACTCTGACCACGTGGAATTATGTAAATTTCACTTTTACTGGATGAACTTTATAAAAATTGAGATAGTGGTTGGTAATTTGTTACATAGGATGGTCCATTATTCGCTAATTATCGAAGACTTTTGAACGATTTTAGATACTAAAGAAAGTCACTAACAAGGGAACATCCCCAGAGCGATAATTTTTTTGGTCAAACTGGATGAATTTGTAAAGAATTAAAAACTATTTAGCACGTTGTTTTATTTTTGTTAAAGAATAGTTTGAACGGGTCAAACCTTCAAAGTTTGCTGCTCGAAACACACATTTTAGTGACCTACGTGTAAACTAATCATTGTATCGAAAAATGTTTGAAACGAAATTTGCTCAGTTTTTAATGTAGAATTATATGGGTGCATGAAAAATGTATTATTCGTGGTTTTAAAGAAAAACCATCGTCCAAGAATTTTAAAATTTGTTTTAAATTGTTTAGTAGTATCGTTTCATGGAAGCTTTGTACTGAGGACAGAGTTGCATTCTGAAGATTCTAGAAGTGAAGTAATATTTTTAAAAAGAATTTTCGATAAATAAGTAATTTTTAATGTGCCCTATGCAGGTTTGTCCACGAGAGAAAGATACAAGTATTTGTCAAATTGACAGATCTGTCGACCACGTGATCAAACACGAACAGTCGGATTTAAGGGGATGGCAAATTGAAGACTGCACGTCACTGCATCCTTAAATAATTTAATTTACTTCATGTACAATTTAAATAGACCATTATACTCACAGAATACGTACACTTGATAGTCATTCTAATCTCACGGTCAAACACGAACGATTGACTTGCAAACGGACCTAAATTATAGAAGTGCAGCAGTAATTTTGGAAAGTGCATTTAGTAGATTAAATTGAAGAAATGGAAATCCGTGAGAGTGGAAGTGACTCCGAGAAATTCGAACGGTGTAATTATGCATAGAGAACTGATTATCCTCGGAATCTTAAATTTACATATTGTATCTATAAAAACGGTTCCAGAACATTACCAGAACGACATTCGATTACTTTTCATATCCACCTTCGAGATGTCACCGTTCAACACGATCAAATCGCCTCGTCTAATTCCACGATTGTGCCCAATTGATCGTGTCCATAAACTTTCATAAAAACCGTCCATCCGTCACAACGTGGACAACGAGGAAATTGGATGATAGAACGTTGTCGTTTTTTAAACCTTTTCAACGGCGTACACACCATCCGTTCTTTTTTCTTGCCATTGTTTAATCAGACTCCGACTGATACAAAAAACGAGCCGGTGTCACGAAACTCGTAAAGATCAATCTATAAGAATTGTCCAGGGGCCCGTTATTATTCGGCCGTGCACGAGCAGGAAACGTACATGTGTGTACCCGAAATTACACAATCCCCGGCCCATCGTGCCCTCCGCCCGATTAAGATCACGATAGGATCAATTCGTGCGATCTCGAGAAAGGAATTACTCGGATCCATTCACGCGCGCCTCTCTCGCAACAATCGTACAAAGGAGCGGAACGCGGAGCCCCGATTGAATTCGTCCGCGATTGATCCTGATTGCCGTTTCGTTTCGTCTTCGTTTCTTTCTTTTTATTTTTTTTTCGACCCATTCGAACGAGGATACACCCGACACGCGTATCGTTCCGCGCCATCTTGATCTCCGTGACGGTGCAAAGTAATAGGTTAATCGATCCGGCGTGTCCGATCTCGGTGAATTGTGCCGATCGTTACTTCAACAATCGATGACACGTTCGGAGATTCGGACGCTAATTGTTTCCGTTCGAAAGTTCCGACAATGTTCACGTGAGTTTCGATATTTCTTGAGCAATGGATCTGTATTCGGTCTTAATTGAAATAACTTACGTAAGTCGACGGTGATGGAAATGAATTTGATTTATTTTTATTGGTAAATCGTTACTCTTAATTCTGGCCTTCTATAATAGATTTGTTCTGCTATCCAAGAGTTAGCTATTCGAAACAAAGGTTGATTGTAGTAAACGAATCGGAATGATGCATTAATCCGTGGTGAACCGAAAAATTCTGCAACCTGGATACAAAACTACAGTTTTCAAACATGTCTACATCGTTTCCACTGGAAACCGTTTCCAGTTGACAATGGATAAACGGATGGGTTTAATGAATTCGACCAACGTGGAATAGAAATGATGTATTATAAATGTATATGTCAAAGATTAACGTTTCACACGTTAGTCACGTATACGGAAGAAAAGTATCCGAAGGAGACTCTAGATGAGATTCTAATGTCATTTTTCTAGTTAATAAATTTTGATGTTAGAAAGATTTAACATCCAAGTTAGAAGGACTCATCATCGAAGTTTATTAACTGCGAAAAATGGTATCGCAGTTTTAACTCTAACTAACTAATCTGTCGAATGTTAACCTTTAACCCTCAGTCACCACACTCATCACACATTCGGATATACAATTTTTGGTAATTAAGAAATTGAAGAGTATGAAAACAAAATGAGCTCGTAACATATTTTTAAAGGTAAAATTTCCTGAGAAATTCACTCGTAATAATTGCAAAGATCAGAAATAATATTCTAAGTATGAAAATTTGAAACCATTATCCTAGCCAGATAGAATGCAACAGGCAAGAGTGTTTCGCTGCTTTCTGAAGGTTAACACATCCAAACCCACCACGTACCTACGTCATTTCTATTCCATGTTCCTCCAATTCATCAAACCCATCTGTTTATCAATCGTTAACTGGAAACGCGTTGCGTCACGTTGCAATTAATTTCACACCCCGTTTACCGTTACGTGACTAATTCCCGATTCTCCCGTGCGCTCGAAGTGGGTCAGGGTGTCAAAACGAGATCGGCTATCAAAAGTTTCTGCAATTCTTTTCATGTCCTCTACTATTCTTCTTCTCATACTCTACTGTAATTCCCAAACCCTCGTTGTTTTGAAGAGACGACGTCGATCGAAGTGGTTCCGTTTGGGTTCAAGAACAAGTGTCACGCGGGTGATTTCGATTGACCCCGGTGCAGTTCGCGAACACGGTGGAAGAAAAAATGGCCGCGATATCGAATTATTTCGTGTGCCGTGGCGGGTTAATACCATAAACGCGGGAACGTGCTTTCTCTCCATCTAGGGAGGCAGCGCACGCAAAATGTTCCCTGCTCTCGCGGGTTCCTTTTTTTTTCCCGCCACAGCTCTCTTACCAGGTCTCTC